TCCCCCCCCTCAAGGGACTGGAAGAATAACCTGCACAGTAACGTAACACGCAGGAAGGCGAAGGATCATGATTACCTGAGAAAGGATGCTATTTTTCTTGCCTCTTCAAAAATCTGGGGGATTTTAACACTTAACATTGTTCACAAACTGTGTATAGAATACTAAAAGAAAAATTACTGTAGGCTTTGCACCCTCCTTCATTTTCAAGTAGAGGCAATGGGTAAGCTGTGTTTGGCTGGCCAGAAGACACTCAAGAAGGCAGGAGAGCACAGATGTGGTAACCTCTGCTCCTAGACAGGGAGGTGAGAATGGGGATGTCGGAGTAGATGGGGTTTGGTTTTTTTCAGAAGTTGAAATCAAGGTCTTTCTGCTTTCAAATCGTTTGAAGCCAAGTTTCTCTACAAATATGACTGTGTTGCTTTTCCTCAATTCAGTGGTGGTTATATTTGAATTTGGAAACTGGTTGTTGACCAGCTCTCGCTTGCCAGCCCCTTTCTAGGCTGGCCTTTGCAAGGAATATTGCTGTGTACCTGTGTATGGGAGAGCATAACGCTTGGCTGCCAGGAATTGACTTTGGGCATCTGTGAGTGTTTCAGTTTAATGTTAGAGGTGTTCATTTTAAAGTGAGATAAACCCAGAATAAGAAGAATTAATTCCATGGTTTATAGGCTTTTCTATTTCTTGTGAATATATTTGTACGGTGTTTTGACTCATCACTGCATCTGCAGAAATTAAAAGTTGGAATCAGTTTTGGAGCCCACAGGGAAGGGGGAATGAGTTGGTTTATTCACAGGGTCTCAAGATGATTTTGTGGTTTTAGTTCTTCACCTTAGATTTGTTTTATCTTTATTTTGTCCTTTAACACAGTCTCCCAACTGTGTGATAAATCAAAAGACTAAAGCTGTTTCATCTCATGCAGTGGGTCTGCTGCAGGTGAGGTTCTTGCTGCTGGGTTACAGCAGTAGGATGGGCACTTGTTGTGGTTTAATACCAGCCAGCAATTCAGCCCCACGCAGCCACTCGCTCACTCCCTGCCCTGATGTGGTTGGGGAGAGAATCAGAAGGGTAAAAATGAGAAAACTCATGTGTTGAGATAAAGATTATTTAGTAAGTAAGACAAAAGCTGTGCAGGCAAGCAAAGCAAAATGATTAATTCACTCACCACTTCCCATGGGCAGGCAGGTGTGCAGCCATCTCCAGGAGAGCAGGGCTCCATCACGCGTGATGTTGACTTGGGAAGTTCACCATCCCTCCAAATGTCCCCCCCTCCTTGCTGCTTCTTCCCCAGCTTTATATGCTGAGCATGACATCATACGGTCTGGGATACCCCTTTGGTCAGTGGGGTCAGCTGTCCCAGCTGTGTCCCCTCCCAACTTCTTGTGCGCCCCCAGCCCACTCACTGGTGGGGTGGTGTGAGAGGCAGAAAAGGCCCTGGCTCTGTGCAAGCTCTGCTCAGCACTGGCTGAAACATCCCTGTGTTATCAGCGCTGCCGTGAGCACAAACGCAACACATAGCCCCATACCAGCTACTATGAAGAAAATTAATTTTATCCCAGCCAAAACCATCACAGTGTTCTACTTCATTTTCAAAAAATTTTGCAAAATGCCAAAAATACTGCAAGGGTCAGCACGTTAATTGTGCTCCACATTGTGATACTGCTGCTCAGAGCTGGTGAGATCTTCGCACTTGAATATTGGAGTTATTTTTAACAGACGCTCTAGAAAGGTTTGTCTCCAGAAGGGCTTTCCCTGTCTGCCTTTGCTCCTGTCTTTGATAGCCAGTGCAATAGCACTTGTTCATTATTATTTTCCATGTAATGCAGAAGAATCCCTGGTGGCTGGTCTAGACCACATTGCCGAAACCCAGAGTTTGCATGTTTTGCTGCACCTCTGTCCACCCTTTTCCGTGCATGAATGATGGTTGAAAGCATGCCAGTAGTACTTGCCAGGAAATTTTTGGGCCAGTACACTTTGTTTTCATAATGTAAAAAGAATTAGCGGGCACCAAGTGGCACCAGGCAGCCTCTTGAGGGAAGAGTTTGTCATGTAACTTAGACATATTGATCCAGCTGCAGCTTCCCACCAAGGAAACCCCAAAACCCTTGAGGACCAGAAGCTGACAAAGGGTATCACAGGAGGAATAAGCATTTTGCCCTATTGCTTATTCTCTATCTATAAACACTTATTTTAGTGGCACTTATTACTAACTTGGCTTATCAGTTTTCAATAGTGATATTTGAGATGCAGAAGTTAGTTTGCATTGAATTTTACAAGTAATCCCGCTTAAAGTGTGCTTTTCTGCCTTTCTCCCTGCTGCTTGGCTGCAAAAATTGGTTGGAAATTACGGCTTTATTCTTAATGTACCAACTTGCCTCGGGTGATCATTAAACCATAGGTGTGTTTTCATCATCTTTTATTTGGGAAAGCCTGAGCGAGGGGAGCCGAACAGTTCACTGGGACCCTCTGCAGCAGCAGTGGGACAATCGCTTTGAACCTTTCAGGGTCACAGCTGAAAATGGGAAAGAAAGAGGAAAGCTGGGCTGAAATTATGTATTTCATCATTGTGCTTCTGTTAAGACTTCTTCAGCATGACATTTGGAGAATAATCCTGCTTTCTTATCTTAAAGTTGGCACCAAAAGGCTTCGTGTGAGACATATCAGGAGAAAAATGAAGATGAAAAGTTTTAATTTTCCTTTTCTGGTCTTTTTTTGCATTTTGGTAGTGCAAATCAGGTAACTATCTGAATGCCTAGTTACAAAAAAACTGCAAGGAGGTGGCCCTTCTTTATTTCCCCATCTGCAAGACTGCAGGGAGCTGTGCTGCTTGCGTTACCCTGTGGAGCTGCACAACACCTGCTCCTTAATGCAGGGTCAGGGGAGAGGACAAGTGGGCTTTTAGACCCTGACTCGAGACTTTTCTAAGCATGTTCACCACTTACGAGGCTGATTTGAGATACTTGGACCCGTTTCTTACCCTTTAATAAAAGATGCTACCTAAAGCTCTGCTAAAACTTGGCTTATTTGAAGGCAGTTGGTAGAAAAATACTGGTTTGTGTCTTTTGGGATGAAATTAGGAATATTGTAGCAGAAGACAACATCAGTGCTTCTTTTCAGACAGTACTGACTGTGAATTTTTGTGTCCCTTGGGTATTGTAAAACTTCACATTCTTCAAACACAGCAGAAAGGGCTACCTCTACTTTTTAGTGAAGACCACATACTTTTCCTCCAAATGAGTTTTGCTTCTTCTTTCCCCTCCACACGAGAAGGGGAGAGGCTGATGTTTTGCACTGTAATTAACCCCTAAAGTCCATATCGGACGACAGTGAAAAAACACCATCATTTTCCCAAATACTGCGTGGGCTACTCAAGCAAAAGCACAAGGTGCTAAGAAGCAGAATTTGAGTGGTTGGGAGCTGCCTCCTACCAGCATAGTCCATCCAAACTCCTTTAGCCCTGGCACTTCATGCATTTTTAGTGCAGTAGGAATCCCTTAGTGTCCCACTGGGAAAAGCAGCAAAAGTCTGGCCGATATGCTAATAATTAAAAAATATTCATCCCGAACTTGGCATTAGCATGGAAATTGTAATAGCTTGTTTGCAAGCAGCCTAGTTGCTGTATAGCATAGCTGAAGAGCACTGTGTGTTAAAAGCATATATAGCTGCCGTGTTTGGAGCTCTGCATACAGATGGATTGAGAGCAAGGCTGGCGGAGCTGCTGGCTTTCATCTCTCTACCTTGATCTTGGACAGGTGCCTTGCTGGCTTTTGTGTTAGATGTGTAATTAAGCACAGAAGAGCAGCTGTGGCAGAAATGGTTAACTCGCTAAGCAATATAATGTCAAGTCAGTGGTAATAAGTTGTTCTGTAGGAGTTTAAAGATTAATTTTGTTGTTAAATATCATCTTTTGGCTTGTGATCAGCTGTAGGGTAGGTCACGTGTTTTCTGATAAACTTGAAGGAAATCAAATAAGGGATCCTGAATGCTGAGTTCTCTGAAGTCAAAGTCAGTTGAAGTCTAACCTTGATGTTTGTAGAGCCAGAAAGAGATGGGGGAAAAGGGAAGAGATGAAATCTGCATTATTCAGCTGGCAGAGACCTGGTGCTCCAACCCAGCGCCTTCCCAAGTCAAGGAATTGCTCTTCCCTCCTCCCCTGCAGGAAAAGCCAGGAGAACATAAGCTAATGCTGGAGAGGTGGATTAATGGAGAAAAACCTTTCCCTGCCGAAGGGCTTGTGGGGGCCTCACAGCAGTGTTTGTAAGGATCGGGGTCTGGAAGGAGCTGAGGACAAGAAGAACTTTGTGGGACTGGGGAAGGTGAGGTCTGGAGACCACCATGAACCTTCCCTTCCTGGGACGCTTGTACAGGGCTTGCAGCAGAGAAGAGCAAAAATGAGACTTAGTTTTTGCATTATTTTCTTTCCTGGTTTATTAATCACAGTTCGCTTCTATAGCAATCATGGAGCCACTCCTACATGTGCTTCTTTTGAAGCACATACTTGTACGTTAGCTCAGTCCTGCACAAACCTTTGATCAATCAGAAAAGGTCACTGCAGCAGCCAAAATCTCTGGATACTTATTCAGACCTCCAAGCTGGAAGAGTGTGTGAAGAACACCTTAGTATTTCTTCTTGCTTTCCACCCCTTTGGAGATGTGTGGACACTAGCTTTGTTTCAAGTTAAAGTAATCATCCTGCCTTTTCAAGTCCAGCTGTACAAATGCTGTCCCCCTGCGGGATAAAACTAGGAGGGTGACATACAAAGATTTCTTCCAGAAGTTGTCCAAGGAATAGCACTTGGACAAAATGTTGACTTATTGATGGAGACAGTCCTGGGGAAAGCAAACACTGAAATGTGTTAGGATTTCTTCTTCATGAGTGTTTCCTGCAATGTTCATTTTTTGTTACAGTGCCTTTTTATGCCCTTACCCTGGATGGAGCTTTCTGCTGCACAGTCTTGCTTTCATCTCCGTTTTTTTTTTTTTTCCTTCTTCCCCCACCTCCAGTTTGAGCGGCACGACCCAGTGGAGGGGCGGATCACAGAACGGCAGTTTGGCAGCATGCTGCTGGCCTACAGTGGGGTGCAGTCCAAGAAGCTCACCGTCATGCTGAAGCAGCTCAAGAAGCACTTCCAAGATGGAGAGGTCAGTGGC